TTCAGACCACAGCTTTTTTCTTGCTCTTCTTGAAACTCTCTCCCTTTGCAGCCAGGAAATAAGGGACAAACTAGAACAAACAGGTGGTGTTTCCAACCCGCGTGTCTTAATTTGTAGGAGGAAGCTAGATCAACATCTGGACGAAAAGTGTCTAATCTGTCCCTAAGTATCAGTGCTCATAAAAAAGCATATGCTACCTTAGATATAGAGGCAGGTCTTTGTGTTTTTAACGCACAGTCATTGCAAACTGACTAGCCACCTACTGAGCAGTACTTCAGTTCCTCCCGTTTTCTGGGCCCATCCTTACTACAACTGAGTATATAATATATTTATCTACCATGTAATTGAGTGTTTCTTAAGCAAGGAAGAAAGAAACAATACTTACATAGTTTTAATTTCCTTTTTTCTAGTTTCATACTCTCATATATTTGTTCTAATTAATATCTAAAATGTTTCATTTTCAGGTGAGTTATCACATTACGTACACAGACACAGGAGAAATAATAGAAGCAGCTGCTTCTTTCGTCTTGGGGGCGATTAACAAAGAAGCACTTTCAATACAGCAGAGCTTTGAAATCAGCTTTACGCAGGTAACTGCTAGAGATGTTACGGATGACTTGTTGAAAGACATTTAATTACAAAACTTATTAAACTTGAATCAGAACAATTGTTAGCAGCAAGGTAAAATGTAACTTGCCCTGGATACACAAATGAGGCAGCATTTCAGAACTGGGCAATAAAGGTCTCCAAAGTCTGTTTTTCACATTTAGAAGAGTCATCTTGTGACTCTGTGTAACTGTATCCAGTGAAAGCAAAGCCTGCCCCAATGTTAGAGAACTGTTATAATCTTGCTGAGCAGTCTTACTGCTGTCATTGTTCAAGGCAGTTAATAATCCTAAAATAAGTGAAATATTTCTGTATTTTCCAACCATTTCAGTACAGGATAAGAACTAATACTGTAATGTTTGCATTGCAGGTAGATACAAAGCCAGTTCCTCTCAGTGGTAATCCTGGTTATATTGTTGGACTGCCTGTAAGAGCAGGCTTCCGACCACAAGGATATCCTTTCCCTGTTGAAATTTTGTTGGCAGCACTTGTTCTGGTCCATCTTCACAAACACTTTCTAGCATGGACATCTATAAAATGTATCTGTTCTTTAACAAAAGTAAAAGTGTGCTTTTTCGGCTATGTTTTAGAAGTAGCGAATGATTCAGTCCCGACTGCAATCTCCTGGGACTTTTTAGTGAGGTAAATTTAGACCTTCATTGTACACTCTAGTGCTTCTTCACAGTGTAAGAGGAGTCTCGAGCTATTATAGCATTTTCAGATATATTTTAAGGATATGATTAAGGATTCTTCCATCATGATATACATCAAGCATTGAATTTCCCTTTAACTGTGTGTTACATCTGGCATCATTCAGAATACTAACAAATACAGTCAACTTACCATCCTACAAAGTACATCCAACCAGGACTGTCTGGCAGTGCAGGGAGCCAGAACCCCAATATTATTTGGTTATAACATGATATCGGGCTGTAAGTTACGGTAAGAGGACATTTCTTCTTTTTTTTTTTTTTTTTTTTTTTGATTTAGTGCTTTTTAACCCTCTGACAACCCTTTCCATCAGGATCTATTCAGGTCCTGGGACATTTATACTGCTGTAGGATTCTTTAATTATAAAAAATGTCATTTAATTAACAATGGTCTTTCTCTTAAAAAGATTGTGTACATTAGCAACTGTAGCCAGAAGGCTTGAACAGTGCATGAGAGCAAGGAGAAATTATTACTGTGCCAAACCAATGGATTTTGCTTTAGCTTGTCTTTTTTTTTCTGGAAGAATTACTGCAGCTATGAAGTGCCAGCCTTTGACTCAGACCCTCCTAGATTTACTGAAGGGACAAAGCTTTCCTGAATACGTGGCCTCATTTGGAAATTCTCAGGCCCAGGATGTGCTCGACTGGGTGCCGATAACTCACCTCCACACCTCAGAACAGGTGAAAGTTACATCACTACCACCACCCCCTTCACTCTTACTGTCCTCTCTCCTCAGATCTGTACCTGTACCACAGCATCAGCTCAGGTTTTGCAGACCTGTAGGGAAAAAAAAAGTGCAGAACCAAACTGGAGGGAAGTCCTCCTGGAATATTGACAAATGAGGAGTTTCACTCTTGCTGTAGAAGACAGGGTTTACTTTTAATCAAGCTGGTATCCAGGCACCTCGGTTCTGGATCAGGACAACAGGTTAGGTACAAAATGAGCTCTAGCCACAGTTTAGAGTCTGGCTCTTCAGATGGGATGAAGCACAAGAGGTGAGGTTGAAAGAGTAAAGTAACAGAATCAGCATTTCTCCTTCATGCTCTTATGCCAGGTTAGAATAAGATAGCAAGAATCCTTTAAAGCACAGAAGCAGTATACTTGAGTGACCCAAACGCTACATTTATTCTTAACATCTGTACTAGCCCTTTTCTTCCCGATGCAGTGCAGACCCTGCTGTGGGCGGTAGGCAGTGCTGCTTGGCACGTGCTGAATGATTGCACCCCCTCGGTGACAGCTCGCGTAGAGGTTGCTTGCATGCTTTTGCAACTAAACAGTGAATGACTTCTGTAACCAGAAACTTGACAGTTCAAGAAGAAATACCTAAAAATATTTAAGATTGTAGGCTTCAAAATTCTGCCCTGGCAGAGTTAAGGATTTTCTGCTGTACCAGCGTTATTACTGAAGTAAGTCTTCCTACTAAAAAGAGCCAGCTCAGCATTATCACTAAGAGCCAAAGTCCTGCCCCGCTCAGGTAGAACCGTCCTGCCTGAAGTGCAGTTACCGAGTCAGTTTGTCACTGATGGAGAAACCACAGGGACAGCCCGGAGCCAAGGCTGCAAGCACCTGTGCTGCCTGCGCAGGCATGGCGTAGTTGCTCTGGTAACCTCCCCGAGCGAGCTTTCTGGGGGCATTCTGCCAGTTTAATAAGATGAATAATTAATGTGGTTGCTTCTGTACAAGTCAGACAATGAGAGAATTTATAACACTTTTCAGAGCTCATGCCAAATACCAGTATCACTTGAAATAGAAGTGAAGTGGACTAAATATGGATCCCTTGTCAATCCACAAGCCAGAATAGTGAACGTTACAGCAACAATCACTACCACCACATTGAAGCAGGTATGTAATTAAATTACAGGATTTAAGATAAAAAGAATGGCTTGTTTTGCTTAGGTATCAGCTCTGCGACAGTGACCCAGTTAATCTCTTTATCTAAAAGTAGCACTTCATATTAGAGTATCTTACACCCAACAGTTTCTGATCCAGCTCAAACACAACCGCGTTTTGGCAAGCAGCCCACACTTCCGTAAAAATCTATACATCATTCATGAAAAGAAACATGGAACTGTATGTGAAAACAAAACTTTTTACAAATAACAGCTGAAAATATAACCCAATCCAAACAAAGCAGTCATACAAAGAGAAGACTGAAGCTAATGACCATTTGTATTTTCATTGCAGCTTCCCTCAGGAAGGGAAAGGACTATTCCTGTAACAAGTTCTGTTGTTTTCACGGATATTTCTTCACCTGCAGAGCCAGGCTATAAAGCTTGGCCCACCATTAATGCCAAGTTACCCTTTGATTTTTTCTTTCCCTTTGTCTAAGGTAAGTATGCATTAAAAAAAAAAAAAAAAAGCCAGCCATATTTCTGCTTTTTCTGATTTTTAGTCCATTTCCTAAAGAAGCGAGGTTTATCCAGTCACTGTGATGGGCCATCAGTTTCTTCTAAATTGTAGGCACACTGCGTTAAAATTGCCCAAGAGAGAAAGCGTGAGCCCTTGTGAGGGCTTCTCAGAAGCTTTATGGCAGAAAAAAACCCCACATTAAGTGGGAAGTTCCCAATTACACCTCTGCCGAGAGGAAAAAAGGTTGCAGTATGAACTTGACTGGCCAGCTACAGCCACCACCAGCACAGGTACAGCCACCAGCCTTCCAGCACATCGGATGCTCTGAAGCAGCGCTGGTCCGAGCTGCCTGCCCAGCAGCGTGGAGGCAGGAGGGGAAGGGAGGAGCACAGGGACACGATACGGCTCCAAAGGAAAGCAGGCTTCATTATTCTGTGAACGGCAGAGCTAAATTGTTAATTAAAGTAATCATGCTATTAGATAAGGCCTCTGCTTTATCTCTTTTCATAGATGAATAAGCCACATATTTCTAGCTATTTTTCCCAAACCACTAATTAATTACCAAAAATCCGAACAGTTAAGTGATGCTTTCAGAAAAGCTCAATGACCCTTCCAGCAGACGGGCTGAAATCAATTGGAGACGCCTGCTACAGTCAACACCTTTCAAAATTCCTACTTATTGAATCTTACTCTTCAACTGTAAAATAGTCTCACCACAGGGACCCTCCAGTACCTGAAAAAGTTCACGGTGTGTTCAAACGCCAGCCTGGTCCTTTAGAATCTGCTTTCTAATGGCTTTTCTGGAGTCTAACTGTTCCCAGCAGTCCACTCACCTACATCTGTTCTTACATATTCTAATCCTTTTAATGTGTTGATTTATGAGCTGTGGAAGCAGAATGAACTTTGTAGCCCAGCGGGCCGCAAACGAACACTTAAAATGGAAGAAGAGATGAGAGAAGGCAGTATCAGACCTCAGATCTGCTGCTGAGAGCAAGGCATTGTTTGACGTAAGATGGCTCATGTTTGCCTCTATCTTGGTGCTGATTTGATTGTCAACTAAAGGAGCAGTGTGTGGGTATTTTTGAAATGAATGTTATATAAATAACAAAGCAGCACAAGCAGCAACAGAAATGAGGAAACTACCAACAATATGAAAAGAATGGTTGGCAAAGGAGAGATGTACTAGTGACGAACGGTCAGCTTCTAGAGAAGAAATGACCTTTTCAGCCTGGATTCTTACCGTTGGTACTGCAAGTTTCTACAAGATGTTGCAAACAAAGAACATTATCACAGAAAAATTCAATTATTTAAAATAAGTGGTACTTTTGTGGATGTATAGCTTGTAAAGACGTGTCTTTATTAAATTATTTTGCAATTTTGACTGTACAACTGTACAAGAAAGGTCTTATGAAATCACTGTTTACAGGGAGTACGCGTGATTAATTTTCCAGCAGAATTATTTTTGCAATCCCAAGATCTAATCAAAATGTGGTCAAATAGAAAATGTTTATAGACAACACTATACAAGAGAAAGCAAAGGGACAGGAAAACCTTTCAGGTCAAACAGATAGATTTCCACACTGCGCTCTCCAGGGCAGACTTCCCCACCTCGGAAAACTGGCCTCCTATTTTTGCTCGCTGATGAGTCCATGCTGTTTTAATATCTTGTTAAGCCTCTCAATTTCTTGCTCCTGTTGGAGACAAAAGACAAATCGTTAATATAGCTCCTACACTTCAGCAGTGGGAAGATCTCTGGGAACCTGGGAAACTATTTTAAGGGATCTCACTGCAGTAAAACAGGACAACCTGGCTGAAGTAAGTAGGACAGAGGTAGCCGTCATTCCTTTGCAACAGAAGCGGCAAAGGGAAGCGCGGGCAGGACAGGCGAGGCGGTGGTTCTTCAGCCCAGCTTACCCCACAACTTTCTGATGAAGAAACCAAGCTGACAGTGGCAATCTTGCAAAAGGATCCCAAGCCAGCTCGTCCCGGGGAGCAGCCAGAGGGTAAACCTTGTTTAAATTAAAAGTGTTTTCTCACCTTCTCTACACAGCTGTGTTCCAGTTGTTCAACCTTTGTTGCCAGTTTCAGGTTTGCTTGCTTTAGCTTGGACACTACTTGTTCAGAGCGGGTCTTTACCGATAAAATTATTCCTGTGAAACAATTCACAGTGGATTCATTTTACAATGTAAAACAGCCGCTAGCAGGAGGTTAACAGTACACAGGGTCTGTACTCGAGGAGTTAAACGTGTTCCTCTCGAGTTCTGGTTCTGTCATCTTCAAACCACCCTTCCCAAGTGCTTTTCTTAATGAGGAGGGTTTTAAACTAGCCACCCCTGGGATTCAGACACCACGACTCTGCTGGGAAGAGGCAGTCTGGCCTCTGAGCTGAATTAATCAGTCAAACTGTCATTCAAATCCTGAATTTGAATTCGCTCCCTTGGCAGAGCCTGGGGGGGATGTAACCGGCAGCGTTCTTGTCACGGGGGGCTCCATTTTAGCCCCTTTCATGTAGTCGGGAGCCTTGCCCCCGGGGCCGATCGCTGCTGCCTGGCCTAACAGGACATGGCACATCAGCAGGTTTGGCTTAAGGTTTCGGCTTCGCCTTGTGCGGCTGCAGTAAGGGCACGCGGTTTCTCATTACAGCGGAGGTGTCGCTTCTCTACTGAAACCGTTAGGTTATTGCATGTGAACTCAGCCCCCACAGCAAAGGCGTTTTTCTTCCCACCCTCTTCTGAGGGGGGGACAAAAAAAAAAAAAAAAAGCTCGGTAAGAGCATCGAGCACATCACGTTCTTGTGACCCGACAGAGCTCCCTTCCGGCTGGTGACAGAAGAACGTGCGCGAAGGCAGGCACCGATGCGTGCCTGTGTTCCTAGTGCTACAGGCAGCGGGCCTGGGGTTTGTCTTCAGAGAAGTGAAGCCCCAAAGCAGCGGTGCTGCTTATTTGCATTGATAACATCAAACAGTCCCCACCTGCCTGTAACCCGGTCCCTGAAGGCAGCGAACCGTGCCTAGGCTTAGCCTAGGCTTAGACACAGGACACCCGACGCCTGGGGCAGATTCTGTTTATCCCCTCCGTTGCTCCACACGGGCAGGCATGGAGAGAAACTTGAGGGGGAAAAGCAGAAGCACCCAAGGATAAGGAGATTTACGTGTAAATGCAATACTGTTTTTCTGCTGTGAAGTGGCGTGTTAAGAGCCGCCGAGGTTCCCATGGCTCACGCAGCTGCACACAAATCCGGTTTCTCTTTGACTTTCACTCCGAACTAAAAAAAGCCACGAGCTGCTCTCACATCTTCCCTTTTCCTGGCCACTGCCACTGATGGGGCATCTTCTCCCCATCCAAACGGCAGCTGGGGCTGCAGGTGACAGACACGGCCCCGGCCATCCTTTCCTTTTATTCCAACTGACGAGACTTAGGGCTGCGTCAAGCACAGAGCACTCGCCAAAAGCGCACTCGTAGGCACAGGACAGCACTCGGGCCGAGGCTTCATGCAGGAATTGGGGATAATCTCATTGTCACGTTTTTCTGAATCTCAAAATTCCTTCCCCAAGAAGGAAGAAAATGTTTCCAGCTACACTTGTTTCAGAAGTGTCTGAATTTACATCTATTTGCAACAATTTACAATTACAAACAGCAGAGTCAGTAAAGTCCAATTTGGGGACATTTTATATTTCTCTTTTTATGGTAAACCCTTTGAATCCAAGCAAGAAAGATCCAGAATGAGATCAGGATGTTCCCTGCAGCATCCCTGGAGGGGATGATGGGGTCACAGCAGAACATCAGAGCAGTAAAACCTACTCTGCTATAGAAGTAGATTCAGGAAGGCAGGGTTTTACCCAGCTCCCCGTTAAAACATTGCCAAAAGGATCCTACAACGCAAACTTAAGACGTGAGCCGTCCCCCTCCAGGAGGGAGGGATGCAAGAACAGATTACAGTTGTTTTTAGGGGAACGTGCCAATGCTGCCGTGCTAAAGCTGGGCATCTCCGCTAGCCCGGGCCAGCTGCCATGGCCCCATCACCAAGGCATCGCATCAACACAAGCAGCAGATCGTTGCCGCTCCAAAGAAATTACAGCCTAATTAAGGCCACACTCCAGCAATGAAAACCGTGCAGGCGAAACTCTGAGTTTGCTGGGAGAGTGAGACCCCGGGGTCTCGCAGATGGTTTTGAGAAGGGAACAAAGACGTGAGCCCAGATAACTCAGGTAAGGTCGCCAAATCCAGCCCATGCACCAGGGAAAGCTCCCGACCGGCCACGCACACACCTACCGTTGATAATCCTGGCCACGCGCCACAGCCGCAGGAGTATCAGGAGCCCGACAGCTTCAAACTCATGCTCCCGGAAGATGAGGACGACATCGAGGACAAATGACACAATGACGACGATCCCGTCCAGCACTTCGAACTTGTGGTGGAAGAACTCCCAGCGGTAGACGAAGACTTTAAACCCCACCTCAACCAGGAAGATGGTTAAAATGGAAAGGGAGAGGTAGTGGAAAACCTGGGAAAAGACAGCACAAGTTTAAGGCCAGGAACCCCTCCTGTGTGCACACAAGCGGGGCAGGCTGGAAAACCTCCACTGCTTCAGGGCACGGCTGATTCAGCTCTACGAGGAGAGCTGGGGACTATTCTGCTCTAAGGGACAACCAGAGCAAGCGCAGCTGGGCAGCCAGTGGTTTTGGGTAAGCCAGACCAGGAGGTGTGAAGATGACCGGGAGAAGAGTGGCAAGAGCAATTCAGCTCCGCTGCAGCCCAAGGAAACACGAAGGTGCTGCACAGACGGGTGTGAGCTGAGCCAGGTCGGCCCCGCACACTGCAGGGCCATCACACGAGCCCCTGCGAAACCTTCGTCTGCGTGCCTGCGACTGCCGGCTCTGCAAGGCTGAAGGTCGAGGTCCTGCCGCCTGGTTGTCCCGTCTAGTGGGCTTTGAACACCAAAGAGAGGGAAATCATGGTTCATGTTGACACTTCCCTGCATTTTACCTTTGGGGTTATATTATATTTGTCAGGATGGATGATTTTCAAGTCCATAAGCAATTCCCCAAGGACCAACAAGGCATCCAGGATGACCAAGCAGACAACCACGATCTGTCAGAGGAGAAGAACCGACGTGAACCCTCTCCCAGCATGGACAGATCAGCAAGAGGAGCTGATGCGACCTTCAGCTAAACATGCCCCAGTGCCCTGCATCCCCGATTTGGCTGGTTTTATTTCGCAGAGCTTTCTGTCGCTCGCACCCAGGACTCCCCCTCCCGCAGCCCCTGGTCGGTGGGTTATTCCTGCAAAGTCTCACCCGTGCAAAACCACTCGGCTCCCCACCAAACCCAGCCGTTTCACACCGCTTGGCGTGGGGGGGTCTCAGGGGGCTCGAGCCAGGGGAGAGCACGTGTCTCTGCCAGCGCCGTGACGAGCGTGCACCCAGGCTTGTCGCCGCTCAGGAAACATCTGCGCCACTGCAGAGCGGCTTGTTTCTGATGGGACGGCCCAGCTCGGGAGCAGCAGCCGCCCTAGCAAGCGCGGCGAGTGCTCATGAGCTCAGTGCTGCTCCCAGCCCGCCTCGAGCTCTATCCCACATCGCCTCTGCCGTCACGGCTGCCTTTGGCCAAATCTCGCCCTCATCTCCCTTTGGCCTGGGTTCCTTCTGCCTCACCTGAAACCTGCGGGAGCTGAAGAGCTTTTTCATCATGCTCTGGAAGGAGACACGGCTCCTGGTGGGCTCCAGCTTGATCTCTGAATCCGGCTGCTTCTCCCCATTCTCCCCAGCCTCGTCCTCCTCCTCCTCCCATTTCTGATAGTCGTTGCTCCACTGCACGGGGTCGTCGCCCACCACCGTGAAGTGCTTCAGGTACCTGGACATGGCTCTGGATCAAGCTGGCATCACCCTGACACTGTCTGAGGGACAAGAGCAGGGTGTCACCTCCCCACTGGGGGCTGACCAAGGATGCCAAATCTCCCTCGTTTCACCACAGCGAGCGTGACAAGAGCATGATGCTTTGTTCAGACGCGGCTAGCCAGGCAGCATGGACGGGCCCCGCTGACGGGAAATTGCTTAACGGTGGTGGCGCTTGTTTTGCATCACCTCCCACGCCATGCGAAGCCCTCGCCACCGTCCCGGTGCTGTTTGCGCCCCTACAACGAGGAACTTCCTTGCGAGGTATTTCCAAACATCTCAAAACAAAGCATTGATTACAGGAGAAAAAAAAAACAACAAAACGCCAGCCCTTATCTCGCATCTCGTGATGCGAGAGGAGGCAGCTGCCGATCTCCTGTTGGAAAGAGCCATTGTGTTTCTATCAGACACTGATCGATGGAGGTTATCGGTCAGAAGGTGGAAGCAAGCGATTTCCTCCCCTTCACTTGCTCTCCCATGCCCTACGCGCCAGAGCAGGCTGCTGTTAGCATGGGGTCCAAGACGAACCTTGCGCTGCGCTCCCAGAGCTGCCCTCGTCCTTCAGCTGGCCACGGATGCAGCCCAGCTGCCCCGGGCTAACCAGGACGTCCTCACCCTCCAGCCACACCACCAGGCTGAAGAACAGCCATAATTCCCCTTCATTAACATCAGAGGCCTCCATTATTTCAGCCTTTGCAGGCAAAATAAGCAAGCGATCCCCACATTTCAGCCTGGCTGGTGGGCGATGCTGTCTTCCCCTATCTCCTCTCCCTGCATCCTCCAGGGCCGACCTCGCCCCCCGGCATCCCGGCTTCACCCCGTCCTCTGGGCACCCAGCGAGGGGCCGGACCAACCCCAAACCTGCAGACGATCCCGGCTGCAGCCTGGCGCAGAGAAGGGCTGCAGGAGAGGCTCCATCCGCGCCTGCTCTTGTGTTCCCCCGTCGCAGCCCTTCCTCTTTGGGCAACCCGGCGAGACTGCCTGGCCCGCAAACCTTGACGAAACCTGCCCCTGCCGCCAGCAGACAGCCGCATCCCCCAGCCTGGCGGGGCTCTCTGTGCATCCATCCTCGGCCAAAGCCGGCCGGGGAGCTGGGCACAAGCCACTCTTAGCCCGCTGGCGCTGC